ATCAAATTTGTCAATTAAATTGCGTGAGAAAAAATTGAAAAAAAATCATGAATATTCAGCGTCATTAAAATTACATTTTGCACAAAATTATTATTTTTTAAAACATTTAAACCATCTTTTTCAGATTTTTGAAATGTTTTCAAATGGTTCAATATCGAGATTCAAATTCAGCTTTGCAAAGTTTAAATAATAAAATCATTGTAAAATGTCCGGAAATTTAGGGTCCAACGGGGCTGAAATGAAAGCTCTGATGTTCGCCTATGAAAGTAGAGAAGCATTTGACTGGAGAAAAAATAGTTAAAGTACTTGGATGTCCTTAACGACTCAACTGGAGTTTATTCACACTACTTTAATGAGTTTTCGCTTCTGAATGGAAGCAAAATTTAATTTTTTTCATCAAAATTTAAGAAATTTTCAACAAAATTTCCGAATTTTTCTTTGGCATGATTAAGTGTTAAGTGACTGTGTCCGTATGCATGGGTGTGCCAAGTTTTTTATAAATTCCTCTTTCAAGAAAAATGCTATTGTGTAATGGAATCAAAGTTTAATCCACTCAAAAGCATATTATTGATTCATCAGCGACAGTAGCTCTACTCAGTTATAAACAATGCAATTATCCACTTGTTTTAGAACCTGTCCGTACGTATTGTCATTTTTTTTTCAAGAGAAAGAATGTTTTTTTTTTCGGTTTTGGAAAGATTTTTAACGAGTTTGTGCAGTTTTCAAAATTGTGCCCTCAATTGTCGAAGATTTATAAATAGTGTCTGTAGTTATTTTTAAATGAAAGCATCTGCCATGCACTATGTTATGTTCCAATTAATGAAAATATTGAATGGTTGTACCTCACTGGGAAAAGCGTTCGTTGAAGTCTTATCCAACAATATTTATTTTCTATAGAAAAATGAATCGCCGCAGCCAAATAGTCACGGGGGGGGGTGAGCCCCCCCTTCGGGGATCAAGAGCGAAACGCGCAGGGGGCGTAGCCCCCTGTTAAAAAAATTAAAATAATATCATCAATTTTTGTTTTGATTCGGAATAGAAAATCCCCCCCCCCCCTCCACTCCAATAGAAAATATTGATATTTACCCGGTAATATTCTCGACAGTAGTTCCGGTTTAAAAAAATGCAATCACGGTCTCTCGTATTTCTCATTAAAATCCCCTTGAACAATGATCGGTGTTTGCACCGATTGCAGAGCGATAATAATTCCTCTCTCTCTCTGTTGCATTAGCGGGAGTAAAGTCGAGGCCAAGTCCCCCTGCACTGGAATCCGCCAGAGGAGATGGAATGGAGGTGGCGGCCTCCGCGTAAATTTTAACGATTAAAAAAAAAAAAGAAAAATGAACATTCGTACAGTCGAGAGTGAAAATTATTTCGTGTTCAAGGCTCCGGGGGTTGATTATTGTTTGAATAATCATTGGCGGTTGCTCGGATGTTTGAGTGAGGTATTGTCAGCATCCGCATCACGCTCATTCAATTGAGACTCGTTAAAACGCACCCGCACGACCGTTATTCCCACGTTTCTAACGTTTATTCACCCTAAATATATGTTGTTATTATTTTTTACGAATTGTGAATAATTCTTTTCGTCTCTGGAGAATTAATTTATTAAATTTTCATGGAGTTCATTTTTTTTATTTCTAAATTGATTTTTTTGTTCGAGTTAATAAAAAATAATTTTTCAGATTTTTTTTGTTTTCGTTCTCTTTTTTTGTTTGTTTGTTTTTTTTTTAATTTCAATATTCAATTTTTCGTTTTAATAATGACTTTTTAAACGAAAAAAATAATTTCATTGATTTTTTTATTTTAATTTTAAAAAAATTTCTCATGGGCCATTTTTTTTTCTTTTTGGGTTAAATTCACGATTCATTATTTTATATGTGAAATAATCGTGTCAAGGGTACGCTTTCATAGCTGAAAATAATGTCCAACGTGTTTTTTTTTGTCGGCTTCTGTTGAGAGAAAAAAATAATTGAGATGCGTTGTCGCAATAAATGGAATATATCTTATAAATAGACACTTCCGTCATTCGATGAACGACTGTACGTGAGGGCTTCTCTATGTGATTCCATCGCGGTTGTATTGCGCTCGGTTTGTCAGACCCACACATGGACGCTTTATAACTCGGTTTCATTCTGTGAAAATTCAACCGACAGACAATGCATTGAGAGTTAACTTCCAGTCGATGGATAAACATTGAAACGTTCGCCAATGGCTCAACGGATTCTCAACTTTTTCTTCATTCCTCATTGAATTTTTATCTCGGAAAAGTATACAATGGATGAACATTTTTTTTTGTCAATTTATTTTTTCCCTGAAAATTGATAAAAGAAGAAAATTAACGAAAAAAATATTGAAAATTAAAAAAACCATTGATTTTTTTCAATTCCAAAAATTCTAAAAATTTAAGAATTTAAAAAAAATTTGAAATTTGAAAATTTAACCGAAATGGAAATTTTATAAATAAAATAGACTATCAATTCGTAAAGTTCAATGTAGACATCCCAAATAATTTCGCGCCCCGTACGTTTCATTTTTTTTGTGCATGAAAAATGTTGAAAAACACGAGAAAAAAAAATTATAGAGTTTATTTGAGAAATTGAGGTGAAAAATGTTCCATTTGTTTCTAGTCTCTCGTTTGAAATTGTAATAAACAGCATCAGTGCCAAGTAAAGTGATTTTTGTCGAATGTTCGTACGTCAGAGCATTAAAAATAGAGTTGTAGATGGTGGAAGGCAGTTCAACAAGACATGGAAATGATGTTCCAATATTTGTTTTCCCTTTTTTTCTCATCCAAAGCCCTTGAACTTTGAATAACTCATAAAATCGTGGGGCGTCTTTACAGCTCGTAAAACCGAATTTCTTCTGCACGAGATGTTGGAAAGGTTGAGATTAAAGATATCTCCCCATTTCTCAGTGCCCTTCTCTCTGCAAAAAAAAATCCCTAACAACTTAATCGCAAAACGTTCAATTAATTTCACCAACGTAAATGTCATTCATTAATTTCTCATTGCGAAATATGAATCAACTCAGTTTCACTAGTTGGTTTTTGGTGAATATCTCATAAACCAACGGAGATACAAAAATTTTTATAGAAACCTTTTTTGTAGCTCTAATTCCGCTCCACAAAAAAGGTCTGTATGACAATTTCACTATCTCTCTCAGATACCGAGATACTTCCGCTCAAACTCTACCGCGGAAATACCTCTTCAGCAATGGGGACATTTTATAACATTTCTTCATTTTTTTTATAATTCATGCTTTATTATGTGTAAATTCAAGATAAAATTGTCACAATTTTTTTAATGAAAAAAATGATTGAAAATGGTGAATTTAAAATGCTCCGGTGACCTTGAATGACGTCACAACTCTGTCAATAGCGTTCAGCAACGCCATCTCTCGTCGGATTTGCGAATCAAATCAGTGCGCTTAGTAGAAATTAAATTGTGTAGTTTTGGTATGAATAAGACCATTATTTTAAACAATGTCATTAATAAATGGACACAAAAATGATTGATCACCCCCGATGACTAACCTCACTTCATTATCGCCACTGAAGCGGAAGTGGCACCTCGCAGTGAGTCAACTCCGAAGTATACGGAGAAGTGACGTCATTGTCCCTTCTCTATTCCATTTTTAATCATTTTTATAAAACAAACGACATAATATCGAAGATTTCTGCATGTATTGAGCTTCTTGCAGTTCAAACGATCTATTGACGGATATCCAAGTATCTTTTACAGTTTGGAACAGACCACACTATAGATTAATTTTTTGTCAATTAAATTGCGTGAGAAAAATTTGAAAATAGTATATTTCGTAACGAGTGCAAAATAGCATATTTCAGCACGTGTTGGGCAATATCGTCTTTAACGTGTGTGGGGTTTACAGCATCAGCCGAAGGCGAGTAATATAACCACACACGTTAAGGACGAAATTTCCCAACAAGTACTAAACCCAACATTTTTTCACGAGTTACGAACAATATTTTTCATCACAATGTGGCGGAAATTGGACTTTTAGGCACGCTCCGCGTGAAAAATCATGAATATTCAGCTTCATTCAAATTACACTTTGCACACAATTATTTTTTCTCGCTCGTGGGATTATATCACTCGCCTTCGACTCGTGCTATAAACCTCCCATGAGCCAAAAACACTTTTCCGAACTTGTATCGTAATAACCTATTTTCGTCACAAGGCGGAAAAAACTTTTCTGACGAGTGTGAGGGTTGCAGACCGAGGCGAAGCCGAGGAATGCAATCACCCGAGTCAGAAAATTTGTTTTCGGCCGAGTGACGAACATAATTTTTCTTCACAATGTCCGTAAAACCACGTTTTACGCATAGTGTGTCAAAATAGTATATTTCGTCATTAGGCCGAAAAAAACTTTTCTGGCGAATATGAGGTTTGCAGCACGAGCCGATTNTGACGAGTGTGAGGGTTGCAGACCGAGGCGAAGCCGAGGAATGCAATCACCCGAGTCAGAAAATTTGTTTTCGGCCGAGCGACGAACATAATTTTTCTTCACAATGTCCGTAAAACCACGTTTTACGCATAGTGTGTCAAAATAGTATATTTCGTCATTAGGCCGAAAAAAACTTTTCTGGCGAATATGAGGTTTGCAGCACGAGCCGATTGTCATATTCGTCAGAAAAGTTTTTTTTGGCCGTATGACGAACAATATTTTTTGTCATGACAGCCGTAGGCAGAGATTTACGGACGCGGAGCGTCCGTGAAACGCTGCCTTACGGCTGGAATGACAAAAAGTGTTTCTTGACGCGTGGGAGGCGTGTAGCGCTCGCAGAAGGCGAGCGCTCCCCTCCCAAGGGTCAAAGAACACTTTTCCCACGAGTATCGAACCCTATTTTCAATCACAATGTGTGGAAAGCGTGAAGAACGTGCGTAAAATTTCACTTTACGCACAAGTGATGAAAATGTATGGAATACATGCCCCTCTTCTGAAAACTCCAATCCTGATGGAATTCTTCTTTCATCCAGATGAGCCTCGCTCCCGCTGTCAATCCTGGGACGACGTAGCGCCCCCTTCCAGAATGGACCAATTGACAAAACGCCAGAGCCTCCAGCAACCGCCCCACCAGCTGCTGGAGGCGACGAGTTCCAACGCATCCGTGCAATCAGTAAAAAGCGAGGACTCCTGGTGCTCGGCCTCCGACCACGAGCCCTCGTCCGACGACGAGTCCGAAAAGAGCAATATGAGTATAAAAAGTAACTGTCAATTACGCAATACCCTGCACAAGGCCAAAACCCTGTGCGACAAATGGAGGACCCAAAATATAAGACTGAATAACGCAAACACCGAGGCAATTGACACCTCGATGAACCAGGGAAGATTATCACGATGGTTTAGCATCAGGCGAGGCTCTACGCATCAGTACGACGTTGACTCTTCATCGTCAGACACATCAACAGTCTCAATGTGCAGTCCCATAAAGGGTCAGCCATCATCAACACCTTTGCAGAGGTCTCCGGTGCCCAGTGCCACCACCATGTCACGTCTGATTGAGGTAAAATAAAAAGGAATTTTTTTTCATTTAAGGATGATTTTTTAAAAATGAAATTGACATTTTGCAGACGAATGGCCATGATTTTTCTGATTTATTATAATTTTGTATCGATATATGCGACTAATCGAAAAGGGAAAATTTTCGATGCATCGATATATTCCATTTGACCCCCATGTGATCCCCATGTGAACCCCATATGACCTCGATCCTTATTCTGACCCTGATGAACCTTAGTTTCTGACCCCAATAACCCGTTTCTGGACCCTTAATCTGATCTTTGTGACCTTTATTTAGACCCTTAATTTGACCCATATGATCCTTAATTTGACTCTTGTGACCCTTAATCTAACTCTCATGAACCTTACTCAGGCCCTTGTGACCCTTATTCTGACCCTCACAAACTTTATTCAGACCTTAATGACCCTTAATCTGATCCTTGTGACCCTTATTCTGACCCTCACAAACTTTAATCTGAACCTTCTGACCCTTAATCTGACCTTCGTGACCCTTATTCAAACCCTCGTGACCCTTATTCTAACTCTTAAGACCCTTATTCTTATCCTCGTGACCTTTAATTTTGGAGTCTTAATTTCGAGAACCAAATTTTCATAATCGAATTTTGGATTTTCATAAAATAGAGAGATATGCGAGTAATCGAGAAAATTTTCGATGCATCGATTTACTCTTTATCTCGACCAGTCGACAATAATTTTAAATCGATGTCATATCAGACTTATTCATATATTGATATATCGATATATAAATATATTAATATTATCACCCTGATCGATATTTGGATATATTGATACATTTATATATCGATCAGGGTGATAACCCCAGTAAAGCCTAATAAAATCATTTTTCTTTTGCAGGAAGAAGAGACTTATGCATCAAACTCAGCAGCAGCGGCAATGATGCAATTTCAATGTCCTCATCATCGCAGACAACCACCACCAACCCTTCCCCCAGCCCCATCAAAATTGACACAGCAACAATTAAAGAGACGCCTCATTGTTGCGGCACTTGTACAATCCGAGAACAGTTATGTTGCGACATTACAGAGACTAGTGAATGACTACAAAAAACCATTGGAGGAATCCTCACCACCCATACTCAGTCAAACTAAAATAGCAACACTTTTTCATCGACTACCCGAGATACTACAGTGTCATACCCTATTTAGAGTTGCATTGGCCGAATGTGTGAGATCATGGGACAAGGATGAAATGCTTGGGGATGTTTTTGTTGCCAGTTTCAGTAAAGCCATTGTCCTCGATATTTATTCTGGATTTATAAATAATTTTTCGGTCGCTATGGATCTCGCTAAACAGGAGTCCAAACGGAAAACTGCACTTGCTGATTTTTTTAAGGTGAGAATTTCATTTTCTGGGAATTTTAGTCCTTTTTTTTTTTGCACGTGTGCGAACCGTCATGAATTTAAAAATGTGTCAGCAGGAAATATAACAAGTAGCGGGCTTTGTAATTGGTGATAGGACACGTTTGTGAAGTGTTATGATTGCTTCTTTGTTGATATAATTGATCAGGGGATGATCATCACAATGAATATTTTTAACTTCATTATTTGAATGTGATATTCCGTTGGAATTAGTGACATTGTCATGCCCATTGTCTCCCATTTTTGTGCGGCTGTGGGAGTTTATTTTTTTTTGCAGGCTGTTGTGAATTCATCGTTCTTTTTCGTTGTTGAATTTTCATTCCAATTTTTTGGGGAGAGTGATTGAATAATTTTACCGTATAATAATGCCAAATAATTCTTGATAATGATTTATTGTTGTCATGACTTTTAGTCACACAATTTTTCAATGGTGATTTTGTGAATATCACAGTTTTCTATGCTGTACGTAATGAATGGATACAAACTTTTTGAGCAGAACAAAAAAAATCCTAACAATGTCAATTAAGGGATTTTGACCCTTGTGACCCTGTAACCCATGTGGCAGAATGAGTCGCAGGGTAAAATGATTTTTTTTAATTCAATAGCAAATTGAAAATGTCAAATAATTTGTTTAATTTATAATTTTTATTCGTAATGATTTATCGTTGTCATGACTTTTAGTCACACAATTTTTAAATGATGATTTTAAAAAGTTCATATTTTTCTATGCTGTGAGTAATGAATGAACAGAAACTTTTTAAGAAAACTTTTTAAAAAATTTAGTTCTTTTTACAACTTTTTTTGGGCGCAGTGTAACGTCGAAAAAAGAATACAATTCGTAATATTAAAGTCTATTTATTTCTCTTCTTTTTTTCGTGAGGTGGGGGTTGTCTGGCTTGTTTAATGGGGTCATCGTGGACCCCAATGTTTACAAGTGAGGCAATTCGAGTCGGGGTTTTAATGTTTTTCTTTGATCAATTGGTTCGCTCATAATGCAGAAGTGTGTCTTTAACAAGCTTATTAATTATCACCATCACCACCTTTCGTAATCACCAGGTGAAGCAGATAAGTGCCCATGACAGACTGTCCTTCTTTGGACTGATGGTGAAACCCGTGCAGAGGTTTCCACAGTTTATTCTCTTCCTTCAGGTAAATATTGCATTTGAATGTTGGATAGTATTTATAGGGCGAGAATTTTTATCTCTTCAGCTATTAAAAAATCGTAAAAAAGTCATTCAGACAAATGTGTCTGTTATTCTGAATTCAAAAAATTTAATTCTTCCAAACTTTAATCCCAAATATTTTTTTATATACTTAGAATGATTTAAAAAAATCATATTTGAATATTTTTTTCCATTTGAAAACTGAAATTTCAATTCCAGTTCTTTTTTTGTGCTCCCAAACCTCTAAAGCCAAAATCGCAGCATTTTTTAAAGTAAAAAATCTAATTCCTTTCAAACTTCGATTCCACATATTTTTTAAAATACTTAAAAATCATCAAAAATCCATATTCTCAAGTACTCATCTTCAGAATTCGCAAAAAAAACTGAACCAACGTTTTTCCTCTCGAACCCTTTGGACCCCCTTCCAAAAACTTCAAAAATTCTTCTCGTAAAAAAATTATATTTAAATATTGTCATCGTAGAGCCCCTTTGGCTACATGACATCGATATTTTTGTTCTGTTTGAAAACTAAGATTTTAATTCCAGTTCCTCCTTTTTGCTCCAAACCTCTAAAAAAATAAAAATCAAAAGTTTTTCTCAATAAAAAAAATTCCTTCAAACTTCGATTTCAAATATTTCTTAAAATCCAATTAATGATAATTTCTTTGGCTCACCCTTCAGTTTATTATTTAAATTTAAAGTAGCACCAACGTTCAGACCATGCCTCTGGGTCAGGGATTAAAATACTTAAAGTAGCTCTACCCTTACGGTAAATTCAAAGATTATTGAAAACTGCAATAAAATTGCAGAAAACTCGATTAGATTCGGAATTCTAATTATTTTCTCAATTTAATTATTATTTTGGTTTTTCAAATAAGAAATGTTTAAAAATCAGGATTTAACCCAGTGTCTTATGTGAAAATCAACATTTCCATTGTAATCAAAGCTTAAAATCTGAATTTTTTTCATTAGATGTGACAAAATCAAGAATTTTGTTGACACCTCATAAAAAAATAATCCACCGTTTTGCAAACAAGTTTTATTATTTATTTATAAGAGGGGAATGTTTGAAAAAATATCAATATTTTGCGAAATTTAGTTTAGATAATACTGACTGGGTATGAATTTATTCAAATTTTTTCCATGCAATTTAGTTGAAAAATTAAAAAACTGAAAATATCCAAAAGCACAGCGTAGCCCGGCCGAAGGGTAGAGCTACTTTAAAAACGCTTAAAAATAATAAAGAATCCATATTCTCAATTACTCTCCCTCAGCATTCCCCTAAAATTTCCAAAATGCTGCCCATCACCATCTCTCACCGCACGATTCACTCGCAATTAATAAAACAAATTCTTGAATCCCACTTCCAGGACCTTCTGAAACACACACCACAAGGTCACCACGACAGGATGTCCCTGCAACTAGCCCTGACGCAGCTAGAGAGTTTAGCAGAAATGTTGAACGAGAGGAAACGCGAGGCCGAGCAATTCCAGGCATTCAAAGAAATGTTACGTCATGTTTCTGGCAAACTGTCTCATCGTCCACTTTCCTCATCCTCCAGATACCTGATAAGAGAGGACAATGTTACACAATTGGAATTCAACACCAATGGAATGATAACAAAGTCCAAAAGACGAAGACTACTGTTGCTTAATGATTTGGTTGTTTGTGTGTCTGTGGCGCCGCGATCTATCGATGATTTCTCCAGCAGCGAGAGGCTCACCCTCAAATGGACACATCCGGTGTCCGACATTGAGGTAAGGAATTTCCGGAAACCATTTCGATTCTCTATTTTTCTATAATGAGTCATCTTCATCGTTCCATTTCATTATAAATTTTAATCATTTCCATAATACTGATTCATCATTTCTTCTTTAATGATTTCTTTAACTTGAGAGTTTGATATTTTTCCTTCAATAGTTCTTTCGTCATCTTCTCCATCTTCTTCATTTTTCTTCTGCTGTTTATATCTCCTTTTATTTTTAGAAGTAGATGGAAAATATATGTCATCTTCATGTTCATTTTTTCATTTGTGTCTGACGAGAAATTTAATGTCTCATATAAAACCGTTTAGTTTGTGATCGTGATATTGGCCAAATAATAAAAGCCAAATTTGTAGTTGAAAGTGAAAATATATGAATATTTTGAGTCATTATTGTAAGTAACAAGTTGAGCTTATTTTGACAGTCAATAATTATTGCATTTAGTATTATTCAAATTTGAAAGATGAAACATTTCAAAAAATACTTCAAGATATTTTTATTAACGTTAATGTATCTTAATATTTTTAATTGTCTAATAGAGGCTTCAAAAAACGTTACACTGGATTTTTTAAAAGGGGAATACGAATGTTTCATCGAATTTTGCGAAATTCTCTCAAAGCACTACTTTCACACACATTTTCACAATTAAGGAGAGGAGTTTTGGGGTCGATAATGACCCCATCAGCTAGCCAAGAAAATTTCCGATCCAAAACACTGGTCAAAACCCCATTTGGTAAATATATAGTATCACTCACTATAGTATAGCCCCATTTTGCCCCACCGCTTCCGCCACAATCGAAAAACCAATTTTCAAAAAAAAAAAAAAAACCCGGGGCAAAATGGGTTTATAACCAGTGTTTTGAACCGGAAATTTCCCCGGCAATCCAACCAAGTCATTGTTATTCACTTCTCACTATTTCCAAGAAATCCGTTGATTTCTCCTACTTTATTTGAAAGGCATGAATTCCTCACTGATTCGCCGAACAATTCATCCTCATGTTTTATTCTCAATTCATTTTAAAGATTCAAGACACCAGTACATCGCCAACATTGAGCCGATTACTCACCGCCGGATTGAACAAAGGCGGCAGCTTGAAGTCTGACAAGAGTGGGGGAATGAATGAGAGTAGTCAGGCAGGTGCTGATACCCTCTGCGTTGAAATGAATGATCTTATGCATGATTACGAGGTCATGTCGAGGATAAGTGATTTGGTTACACAACTCAAGGGCACGTATGAGGTAAATTCAACCGCATTTGTATGTTTCTATATCAGCACATCGAAAATTACTCAGAACTGCTTAATTTCTTTTCTTGGTGAATTATATTCTCATGACCCTGGTGGGTATTCCAGGAACATGAAGAGGTACGGAATTGGGAGCCCGTTTATTAGAGAGCTGGGAAAATTTCAGTCGGATTTAAACAAAAAATTACCTTCGTATCTATTTTAGTTTTAGAGATATGGACGAATACGTTATGAGTCCGTAAAGTTGAACTTTTTCGCATGCGTAGAGTATTATATTTTTTATGAAATGAACACACTTCAATTTCTAAACATCTTCTCATAAACTTTAAGAAGTGTTTGCAAAGAAAAAAAGTGCCGAGATCGAGTGGATTTACTCGTGAAGCTACTGCGCAGCTTCGGGCGCAGCTCGCGCATGCGCACTCCATCAATCAACAAGAAATGGCTGGGAATCCCCAAAAACGCCTTAGTACGATCTAAAATGCTTCTTTTTCGACAGTTACCCGAAAAGTTAGTTTTTGGGCTAGAATTCTTTACGTTTTTTTACTCATGATGCAAAAAGTTTTCACGATATTCAAATCGGGCGTTATGTCACAAGACCGATAAAATTATTTTATTAATCTCATAAGTACTTTATATTCCACGTTGAAGATTAGGATTATAATCTCGTGAGTCAGAAAATAATTTTATCGCCGTGTGGTATATCACACTTTTTGTTACTAGGCCCAGTAAACCGCGATTCTCGCCTTCGGTTCGAATTATAAAATCACATTTGCGAGAGAATATTTTTATCGCCTTGTAATACAATGTACTATTACATCCCGAGGACCAAAAATCGCGTTCTAACCGAAAGAGAAGAGATTGGAATTCACGGTTTGTGGTCCTAGGGACATACAGTAAATTGTTCTGTATAAACTTCGCTTCGGCATTTCAAGAAATATGAGGTAGCAATACTTGCGTATAAAAAATGCAACTTATCGTACGTGTAACAAAACATTTCATTATCCGCGAAACGTTCAATAAATCGCTCTTTTTCGTATTCGACTTAAAAAAAGTGCGTTTTTCATTCAACTATCACAAAAAAACCGTTTCTCGATCTTCCAGGGCATTTCAGTCCAACAAACAAAGCAAATTCTCCAATCGATCCAATCCTCCGTCCAACAAAAAGACGAGGACATGATCTGGGCGGACAGCTGCTGCCTCCAGCTGACCACAAAGCAAGGTCAGATGTACACCTTCCAAACGGAGAATCCCCTCGTAAAGAAGGATTGGATCACTGAATTGCGACTAGCCCAGCTGGCCCTGGACCCCAACAACTCGCCCTCCTGGGAGGTGCCCGAGCAGGAGCAACGACCCAGCACCAAGATGCCGCTCTTCGTCAACTCTCAACCTGTCTACAGCTCCCAGTACGCGTCCGAGGTCACCTGCGGCTGCTACTACACGACTCAATCAGCGAAACCAACGAGGAGGCACTCCTCGAGGCATCCCCAGAGCTACCTCTGGGTCTGCACGGGCAATGGTGTCTCCAGTCACATCACCGTCTTCTCCCAGTCAACTTCCGCCACGTCTTCATCGACTTCATTGAAGAAGACGTCGACGTTTGATCTCTTCGAGACGAAGGTCACGGCGATCGAGTTCGTGAAGAGCCACAGCAATCTGAGCCCTGATCTGATATTCCTGGGGACAGACTCGCATAAAATCATCATTTACAATGCTGTTGAGCCGGAGAAGCAGGAACAGCTGGGGACGTATCCAACACCCGGATCTGTCATCCAGATCAAGTCTCATTGCGATAACATCTTCATCGCTTTGGACACAGGTGAGTCGGACGTTCTTGATAACTAGTAGACGTTTTCACGTTCTGTGAATTTGAATTTCGCGGGGAAAATCAGGCGACCAATCGAACAGTGAGGTCTCGATTTTTTCGAGAGTTCGATTGTCTTCGAGATAATCAATTCACAGTTACTGCCCCTTTTGACATGAGCTGGAGGGGGGTGGGAGGGGAGGAGGAAGTGGAAGGAGTGAAGAGTGATTTTGAGATTAGAATTTGATTTTTTGGGATAGAAAGAGTAGTTTTGGAGGAACATGTGGCATGTGGGTACTCTTTCCAGAGGAAATTTCTCAGGCTATCAAATAAGAACTCTTTTAATCCTTAAATTTTTCAGGATTTAGAGATATCACTTCTATAACCTCAAAATTGTTTTGCACGTGAGGATTTTCTCCATGAACTTTTCATCTCTATTTTCAGTAGAAAAATGTAAAAATTTCGAAGATCGCTTGATATTTTCAGTTTTCGGAAATATTGAACATGAATTTTTGAGGTTAGAATGTTCAATTTCGCTGTAGATTGAGTGTTTTTGGACTGAACTAGGTCATCCGGGTATTCTTTCCACCAGAAATTTCCCTGCCTCTCCAATGAGCCTATCCTCAGCCCTCCACCCATCCAAGTTTTCGAGAATTTCCCCCCATGGCCAACCAAATCCCTTCCATCACCTTCCTACCCCTCAAATCTCCTCACCGACCATTTCTCACAAAATTTTTGTTTCTCCCTCTCCAGGTAACCTCCTAATCTACAAAAGGAACCAAGATGGCTCTTGGAACCTCTCGACCCCGAGCCAAGCCTCCCTGGGCCGTGACCCGGTCGCCAGCCTGATGCCCATCAACTCAACGGTCTACGCTGCATGCGGCAAGAAAGTCTGGGTCCTCTCGGGCCCCACCGGAGAGGTCCTCAAGAGCTTCTCCGTCCAGCACGAGCACGTCGGCAACGTCAAACTGATGGCGCACTCTGGTGTCGGGCTCTGGGTGGCCCTCAAGAACTCCTCTACCGTCTGCCTCTACCACACCGAGACCTTCAAGCACCTCCAGGACATCAACATCGCGTCCAACGTTCTCAGGGTCACCAAGACCTCCATCTTGGACAGACTGGGAACCCCCGGTGACAACGGCGAAACGGTCTCCGTCACTGTGACGGCCCTCATGGCGTGCAAGGGTCTCCTCTGGGTGGGGACCAACGTCGGGATCAGTCTGACGATCCCCCTCCCTCGCCTGGAGGGCGTTCCCATCATAAGTGGGCGTGTCAACATAAGCTACCACGCCCACTTCGGACCAATCACGTTTCTCCTGGCCCTTCAGAACTCCAAGGTCACCTACGCCAAGGATGAAGTCGAGGTCGAGGAGGTCAAGGGGACCGAGGAGGAGGTGAACAAGAACAGGGTCGATAAATTGAAGCTGCAGCTGGCGGGGAGCCCTGTGGCCTTGAGACGAAAGAAAGCTAGGGAGAGTGAGTACAGGGGCTCCAAGACCCTGCCCAGGGGTTGGGGAGGGAACTTCTCCGCCCAGGGGGCGTTCCTAGGAAACTCCCTGAGCAACTCCTCAGGCTCCTCGGGGGAGAATTGCGATGTGTATGGACTCTACGGGGAACTTATGTACCCGAGGGATTACGAGAATGACAACAACTCAGGGGTGGACACCATCTACGAGAGCTTGAGGCGGTCTGACCCGGAACTGGGGGGCGTACCCAACAAGGTCAATACCCTGGATAGACGACTGAAGATGAAGATCACGAGGCCGAGGTCGTTGGATCTCAGCAATTGGTCTGTCGACTCACATGCCAGCTCTTTGTACACCTCTTCGGGGTCCGAGGAGAATCTCTCCAAGGGGAAGCTCTCCAGGAATGGGTCGTGTGTGGGCAGGAGTGGGGGGAGAGAACCCGAATTTGTGTTTAAGGGAGGGGGAAAGGAGGAGGATAAAGTGGTGAAGGGGTGTGGTAAGGGCACGGGGAAGAGGAAGGTCCAGGTTGTTGAGCAGCCGAAGAGGACTGTCCTCACCCTGATGGGGGGCAGAGGTTATGTCAACTGGAGGCAATTGGGGGGTGTTCAGGGGAAGGGGATGAGAGAGCCTAACAGTAATGATGCACATATTGTTCTTTGGGAGATGAAGTTGTAGCGGAAGTGGAGGAAATCGGGTTGCTGAGGGGGACCTAGGGGAGCTTCTTCGGGGGGTGGACGGGAAGTGGGTCGTCATGGTAGTCGTTTTCAGGGGAAATTCGACGGGCTTTATGATGGTGATAATGATTTTTTTATATTGTTGAGGGTTTTCGAGATAATAGGGGTGACGACGAGAGGCATGGAGGGGAGGGAGATGACAATGTGGTCATTGGAGAGGGCGGAAAATTTCCGATGGAAAACACCCCTGTTGAACCTCTTTTGATGCACAACATCACGAAATATCGGTGAAAAACGGTTTTTGAGGTTAGAATCACACTTTTTTAACGGTCAGTGGGTGGAGATGGGTGGGCCTTCATGGTACTCTTTTCCAGCTCAAATTGACCGCTCTTTTCAATGGTAATGATCAAAAATTGATATCGTTGATAATTTTAGAGAAAAAGGGGGGGAAATCGTTGAGAAAATTGTTAAACTTTTTTTCAATCATTGGAAGAGATTCAGGGGTTGAAATCATGTCACGTAGAGACTAGACCGATATCCTGGAGATATTGCGTACCATGACATCCACTCACGGGAATTTAGACGTGAGCATTTTCCTCAGCAACTCCGCCTCGTCTCTCATAATTCCCCTGGGTGCTTATTTAACGTGCAAATCGACAATAATATGAAATTAAAAATCTCGTGGAACATTTTTTTGTTCTATTTTTCACGTCAAAAAAAAATTTTTTTTCGTTCATCTCAATGCAGTTTGTTTTCATGGAAAAATACATTCCTAATTTATTAATGACGTGAAAATGAAGGGCAAATGTTGGGAAAAAAAGTTGATTGTAAATCGCCAAAGAAAAATTGAAAGACGAAAAATAATTTTTTTTTGAGAAAAATTATTTTTTATTACAAAAGTAATTAAGGACAAATTCACTGATAAATTTTTCTGATGAAGAAATTCATTTTTTGTTGAAAAAATGTTAAATAAGCCATGGATATATATTAATAATGTTCAAATTTTCTGGGCCTTGTTAGTTATTAAATCGAGGAATTACTATTAAAAAACTGTTTATAACATTTTTTATAAATGAGAGAATGGTGAAAAACAGTTGGAGATTTTTCTTATAAAAATTTTCGATGAAAATTTTTGAACAAAAATATTTATATATATTTTCTGCCATTGTTCTTCTCCGCAGAAAATTTGTGGAGTAAGAAGCAACAATTAATCACTTGGGAAATGAACTTCGTTAGTTTGTAATGAGTTATATTCTTGTGATAAGAGAATCTAGAAAAAAATGATAATAACGATTGATAATACGAATGTTAACCCCTGTTGAGTGATTGAAATGAATGAATCGAGTTGATTAGAAAAATTGATTGGGAAAATTGATCTGCTTTCGAGTGATGGGTGATGAATTTTTTTGTATGATGTATATTATACGTAGGGGTTTATGTATATACATAATGCACTGGAGGGCCAACAGGTGCCATTGTAAAATTCTCACGAATATGTTAATTTTCTTCCTTTTTTCCATTAATTATTTTTGATTTTTTTCCTTTTTTCTTGTAATTTAAACAAACGTTATTGAGATATCTATGATTATAATTATTTTTCATCGAGCAGAACATATTGTCTTTCTTCTTTTATTCTTAATTTTTCCCATTATCCTCAGTCTTCATGAATTCTCGAATTCCCCATTTTTTCATCACTAAAAAAAAATTCATTTTTTATGAATCAAAACAAATTTTTTTAATTTTTTCTGACAAAAAAAATATTTTTCATTATTTTATTCATTTCAGAATTTTGAGATTGATAAATAGAAATCCCATAATGGTCTGGTTTTTTTTGGGTTTAAATATTTGGAAAACGTTTTTTAGTCATTTTTTCAACTTTATTAACTAGAAAAATACAGGTCGTATTTTAAAAAAAATGTGGGATTTTAGAATCATAGGAAGGTCATCCACTCGTTCTGAAGTCTGAAACAAAGATCAAAACTTTTTTTCAACAAAAGAATCATTTTCGAATTATGTTTTATTGGAGACGAGAAGCCTCAGTTGGTAGTGCATGTTAAACATTAAAATCATGAACTCATTATTCGGTGTTGATGTCATCATGTGATATATAATATAAATCAAATGATTGTTGAATATTTGAGGAATTAAAGGAGGTTTGAACTCACTTTTACAGTTTTTTGATGGCTCGGAGATTCATGAATTCTATTTTTAATCTATTTTTATGAATACCTTGAGAATTACCAGAGGTATGAAATTGATTTTTTTTAAAGTCCTCATCACCTCACGTTCCTGAGATAGATAAAGAAATTTAAAGACGTTTGTTCAGCATAATTTGTCAGTTTAACATATATACATCTATATACAAGTTGATGGGGTTCTGAATCGTAGTCTCAGCCCTTGAGGTTTTACTTACAAATATCAAGAAATTTGTTTTATTCAGGTAACGTGAGGTTGTGTTACAAAATAGAATGACTGGCAATAATATAGGGAAAAGTGAAAAAAATGAAAAACCCTATGACATGAGTATTGCGAGAAATAATTATGGCCATTAGACCAGCTTAAAAATTTTGCTACAATGATTTCAGTGTTCAATCAATGGAGAATTCAAGAAATTAAAAAAATTGTTGCTGTAATTCATTGGACAAGGAATTAGGACAAAGACAAAGAAAACGATTTGGCCCTCAAAAACTAATTTTCAACGTGTATCATCAAACTATTAAACTAAATTGGGTTAAAGTTTGGAATCGAAAATTCCCCTGGATTTCCAATAAAACGATTTTTCAGCCTCTTATCTCCTCCAGTTCTCGAGATATCCAAGGAAATAGAAAAGAAGAGGAATTCATGATCTAATTTCCCCACAAAATTTTCATTCCCTCAGTCGCGGTTTTTGGAATTTGGAAAATCCGGAAAAATCTGAAAATAGAACAGAACAGGTGAGTTAGTCAACGATTCTCATACTTGAGGATGGGGCTTTGATGGTTTCAAGACCTCAGTTGGTAGTGCATGTTAACAAATAATCATGTAATCAGCATACGGTGTTAATTTCATCACATAATATTTACAATTAATTCATTAGTTATAGCGTAACTGAGGGGATTAAAGGAGGTAAACTTACTTTCACTATTTATTTGATGATTTGGAGATTCACTCATTCGTTTCTTGACTCATTTTCATGAGTATCCCGAATATGGGGTCTATAATGAACCCGTGAGATACTCCGAAAAATGTCTGATTCCAAGCACTGGTCATCAACCCATTTTGCCCCATTGTATATCAATAAACTCACGAAATTCGTTTTTCAAGCGAGAAACGTTTTTCAACGATATGTTGGGAACCAATGGGGCAAAATGGGTTTATGACCAGGGTTTGGAATCGGAATTTTTCCTGGCTTTCCAATGAGACAATTTTCGAGCTGCTCTCCATTTTAATTCTCGAGATATTCATAAAAAGAGAGAAAGAAAAAAATTTCATGAATTTGTTTTTGTAGAATATTCGTCATCCCCTCGTAATTTCGGTTTTTGGAATGTGAAAAATGCCAAAAAATCTGAAAAGAGAAGACAACAGATACGTTAATTAACAATTCTCATATTTGAGGTTGGGATTTTGATGGTTTCAAGACCTCAGTTGGTAGTGCATGTTAACAAATAATCATGTAATCAGCATACGGTGTTAATTTCATCACATAATATTTACAATTAATTCATTAGTTATAGCGTAACTGAGGGGATTAAAGGAGGTAAACTTACTTTCACTATTTTTTTCATGATTTGGAGATTCACTCATTCGTTTCTTGACTCATTTTCATGAGTATCCCGAATGTGGGGTCTATAATGACCCCATGAGATACTCCGAAAAATTTCTGATTCCAAGCACTGGTCATCAACCCATTTTGCCCCATTGTATATCAATAAACTCACGAAATTCGTTTTTCAAGCGAGAAACGTTTTTCAACGATATGTTGGGAACCAATGGGGCAAAATGGGTTTATGACCAGGGTTTGGAATCGGAATTTTTCCTGGCTTTCCAATGAGACAATTTTCGAGCTGCTCTCCATTTTAATTCTCGAGATATTCATAAAAAGAGAGAAAGAAAAAAATTTCATGAATTTGTTTTTGTAGAATATTCGTCATCCCCTCGTAATTTCGGTTTTTGGAATGTGAAAAATGCCAAAAAATCTGAAAAGAGAAGACAACAGATACGTTAATTAACAATTCTCATATTTGAGGTTGGGATTTTGATGGTTTCAAGACCTCAGTTGGTAGTGCATGTTAACAAATAATCATGTAATCAGCATACGGTGTTAATTTCATCACATAATATTTACAATTAATTCATTAGTTATAGCGTAACTGAGGGGATTAAAGGAGGTAAACTTACTTTCACTATTTATTTCATGATTTGGAGATTCACTCATTCGTTTCTTGACTCATTTTCATGAGTATCCCGAATATGGGGTCTATAATGACCCCATGAGATACTCCGAAAAATGTCTGATTCCAAGCACTGGTCATCAACCCATTTTGCCCCATTGTATATCAATAAACTCACGAAATTCGTTTTTCAAGCGAGAAACGTTTTTCAACGATATGTTGGGAACCAATGGGGCAAAATGGGTTTATGACCAGGGTTTGGAATCGGAATTTTTCCTGGCTTTCCAATGAGACAATTTTCGAGCTGCTCTCCATTTTAATTCTCGAGATATTCATAAAAAGAGAGAAAGAAAAAAATTTCATGAATTTGTATTTGTAGAATATTCGTCATCCCCTCGTAATTTCGGTTTTTGGAATGTGAAAAATGCCAAAAAATCTGAAAAGAGAAGACAACAGATACGTTAATTAACAATTCTCATATTTGAGGATGGGGCTTTGATGGTTTCAAGACCTCAGTTGGTAGTGCATGTTAACAAATAATCATGTAATCAGCATTCGGTGTTAATTTCATCATGACAAAATCCAAAAAATAGTAAAAATCTCTTAAAAAAGAAATATACCTCACCTTTAGTCCACGATGCAACGGCCTCCCAACCCTCTCGAGCCCCTCGCGACACTCAAAATTCAAAATGAAATCACCCAAAATTTCTTTTCATCTATTAATTACTAATTATGACAAAATTTTCCCTTCAACCCTCAAAAATCCATAAAAATCTTAACAGAAAAAATGTGCACGTGGTCATATAACCTCCAAGTACTACACATATTTATCCATGTGCATGTGCACCCCCAAATAATTTAAAACTCTATGAAAAAACCGCTAATAGTTACTTCATACGAGCAGAAATATCCAAAATTATCGAAATAATCTATGAAAAATTCTCAAAACGACTCATTACCTCTGCGAAAGTGTCCCAACTCTCCAAGATGTCTTTCGAAAATGAACTGTGGCCTCGGGGCGTTCGCAATGAGCGTCGAAGTGAAAGGGGAAGTGTAAAATCGAATGACTTTACGATCACAATCGATCAAACAGTCGAATAATCGGCGGGAAACTCAAGACTATTCGAATTGGTCTATATTATTGCAATAAATATAGCAAAAAATTTTATATATTATCAACATAATAAATGAATAAATAAATAAAATTATTATTAATATATGATATAGGGAAGGATAGGGTAAAGTGGATACTTTAGACTTTTTAAAAATTATTCATAACTCAGAAACAAATGACGTCACGAAGACGGTCAGGTGACGCTTCATTGGTCAGGTGTGAAGAGAGAGGGGAGTTGACGTTCTCCATTGGCGCGTCTCAAGATTGGGTTAGGTCGACTCGAGCCATTCTGTGATTGATCCAGCGCTCGACCGTCTGTGTGACGTTTTGGTGACATTGGCGATTTCAAAGCGATTGAAATCTTCGACTTTTGACAATTAATTATGAATCAATGAGCAATGTTTTGAAGTTTGTGAATGAAAAATGAATTTTTCAGGTCCTAAACTTGAGATTAAAACATTGAAAGCAATTCACGCCAATTCCCTATTGTTTCCCAATTTTCATGCGGACATTCAATATATCTAGGCGTTCTTATTTACATAAATTTTCATGTTTCTTCAACAATTGGGATACGAAAAATCCTCTACTCTCTTATTATTACAAGATCTATGCGTATGATCTATTCATTTGTTGAAATGAAGAAATGGAACTCATTGAATTTCATTTTCTTATGAATACCTTATAAATATTGATAATAAATCAAAGAGAATTCGACTAATGATTGAAGTGAATAGCGAAGTAGAGTAAAAGTATCTATAAAGAATTTTTCATTTTCAATTAATTATCTTCAATTTTTTAAAATAATCGGTCTCCATAAAAGGACAGAATTTATTAATTTCACCGATGATATATATACATGTGAAATATATATATATGACTCGAAAAAAAAAATTACCACTGAAGAATTTGAAATTATGTCACTGAAGAATTTGAAAATACCGCGTGTTTTTTTTATGAATAACTTCGTGTCACATATTGACCAATCAGAATTAAGGATTAGCGGTCAGGCAATTTCGAGATATTTCGATATAAAACAACTTCACGTTTGTTTCATCTTTAGTAAATAGGATAGTCAGTCGACGAAATGAATTACACCACTGATTAATAATTGAAGTGTTTTATTCGTGGGATGTGGATATCAAGATCATTATAGACATTCACATTCAATACACTTTCTTTCACAAATATCTTCCTTTTACAGAAGGGAGGATACGCTCGGAACATGATTATTTCCCGACATTCCCCAGATCCAGGCGATTGCCTTTGTCATCCCTGAGAAAAAATAAATTCATGATCGATTGTTTAAAATGAATTTTGAAGCTTAATATTTCCCAACTTACTTGCAGATACACTTGAACATTTCATGGTATGAGTATTTTGCCTTTCTTCTTTCACAGGCGTTTATACAATTATAGTGCGCACGCACCCTGCTGGGGTCTGTAACGCCATAATGTTTACGTTTCGCTGTAAAAAAAACAAATGTCATTGTAAAAAAACTGCGGCAAAGAAAAGTTTTGTTTGGGTCTTGCTAGAAAGTTGAAATTTTTGAAAAATACAAATAAAGGAAACAGAAAGTCAAGTCAGGAATGTCTAATGAATGAGTCCAGTGGTCAATCAGATTTCTATAAAAAAATACAGTTCGAGACTTCGGTATAATCATAATTTTTAATTACAGTTAAATTTTGATTAAGTCAGTTGTTAATATCACTCACCAATTTTTTGATTATTCAATCAACCATCAATTTTAATATTCAAATTCCGAAGTATTGTATCGACCAATAATTGAGAATTTTTAATTACCAATTATTATATTATTTTTTAAATTTCAATGAAGATAAGTAAAAACTTCATTATTGTAGAGTGCAACTTCTCATAATATTATTAAAGTAGTGATTGCTGCCGATCTAAGAATAGTTCTCAATGGAAAAAGAATTTTTTTTAAATTCTCACTCAAATGTTGTAAATAATGACTGTATTTTTTAAATAAAAAAATGGTTTAAAAAATCATCGAAAACACCAGAAAACCGAGGAATGAAATAAGCCGCTTTCCTCCCGTCATTTGGAGAGGAAAATCGTACTTTCCGTGCAGACGTGACGATAAACTTTTTTCCGTACTGCTCTTCACTTTCCTTCGTCCAGGGATTGGTATTAGCCCTTCCCCAAACTCGTAAAAGTGAAAATCATAACGGAGAAATGTTGTCCGGGCTGTTGTTATGGGGTTTACATACTCGGGAGGTTGGCAGGCCTCGCCTGCTGCTCGGCCCACCAACTCCCCACTAGTAAAAAAATCCATATCAACACACGGGGAGAAATATTCAATAAAAATTACGTATCTTTTCCGTAATTCCGGAGCGAAATATGGTTGTAGGAAATTTTACGGAACTGTCGCGGAATTTTTCCAGAGCGTTCCGTAATTTTTATCTGAATCTCCTGTGAAAAATTACGATACCGTCACTTAAATTTTCTGAGTCGATTCGGTAATCGGTGAGCGAATTGTGAGTTCCGTAATTTTGACTGACCGTGCAGGCCGGAAATATTCGCCATCGCAACGTAGATGTGAGAGCCACCAAGTGGGCTTTAACCTAACTACTCTTGGGAGTCAACCAATGAAATCACTAGCAGTGAACCAATGATAGGCGTCAATCAACGAGATCACTGAGATCTCCTTGATCTCATTGGTTGCCCCCCACGAGTAGTCAGTTCAGAAACCACTTGATGGCTCTCACATCTACGTTGCGTTCGCAAATACTATTCTTGGCCGATACGCTACCGCGTATCTCGATTAAATGAAAAATATTATTTATTTTCCATCGCCCGTGGGCCTTTAGCCTGGTATCTACAAATCGACATATTATATACAAAGTGTTGATTTTAGAGTGTGAAAAATATTTTCCGAAGAATATATAATGTTTGCAATAAAAAATATTAACATTTGACCATAAGTCAATTTCCCTCTGATTGAATGACCAGTTCAGAAGTTAAATTGACTTGGCTAATCTGGTTTCAAAATTTTGTTAGATTGAATCGCGAAGGTCAAATAATGTTTTCAAGTAGTTGACTATTCACTCACTTGGTCGGCTTGAGCTCATGGTGCAGAATACCACCAAGAGAACAAAGATGATGTTCATCAGCTTCATGTTTGCGAGGAAGTTGAGACTTCAGGGTTTTCGAGTGACGACTGTTTGAAAATTGACTGTGACTGATCCTTCGAAGCAGGCCCATTATATACGCGATTCGTGGCCATTTCGCGACGCGATCACTCAAATTGCGCCGTTGTTCGGAAAAATCGAGGAACTCTCGGGCTTTTTTTGAAAATTCACCAAAATTGGGCGTTTTTGTTTCCGAAGGGAAGCATTGCAATCCTTCAATTTTCACATTCTCTAATTTTGATTGGAAATGTCTGTAGATGACCACGTCCACCGCCACTTTCCCGGTGGTCAATTTTGAGAAAATTGAGTAATTGAGTAACTAAAGTAATTCCAAAAAATATGAAATTTTGTCAAATTATAGGCCCTAATAAGAACTAGCTCTGTGCAAAAAAAGTGAAATTTCGCATATCTTATGAAGGAGTTGAGTTTTAGAGCTCTGAAATTTTAGGTGAAGTTAGTTCTTATCGAGTATAAAGATATATCAAAAGTTGGTAAAAATCCCAGACTTGGCGCAAAATGATCGGTTGGTAATTTGTGGAATTACTCAGTAATAATGGACAAACCTCAGATGGAAGTTTTTGTAAAACATTTTTTCATACACGTACACTGAGAAAAAAAAATTCTAAGAAATAGAAATTCTATGATTGATCCAAATCGTTCATCGATTGAATAGTCGCAAAAGAAAATGCTATTGTAAGACACAAATATCGATTTAATTTTAATGTTTTCGATTAAAAACGAATAAGATCAGTTATCTAAAGTTTTTTTTGTTACTATCTACTTTTCAGTACATACAAATCAATGTTTGTATTATCAAATATCTTTTTCGAATAAAGCATGTAATTATCCAATTTATCAGCGTCACGATATCCCGCAAAAAAATATCTGTTCGATTGAAAGCAGAATTCATAGATGCAATAAAATATTCATTTGGTCTATGAAGAGCATATTGTTGGATACTCATTGAGGCGAGACTTTCGCGGTGAGCAGTTTCTTGTTTACGACAAACGCAATTCTTCATCATTTGAACTGATTATTTTTCCATTGCAATTGTGAAAAAAAAATTATTTGCGCCAAATCCGAAGCGTTTAAACTAAGCCAAAATTGAATTGTATTCAATCGATTTTGTCGCAAAAACGTGTATTTTCTAAATTCGATAGAATAAACAAAATATACTATACTATAACAAAATCGATTTCATACAATCCAATTTTGGTTTAGTTGGAATCGATATTTGTGTCTTACAATAACATTTTCTTTTGCGACTATTCAATCGATGAACGATTTGGATCAATCATAGAATTTCTATTTCTTAGAATTTTTTTTTCTCAATGTGCACGAAAAGTTTGTACTTTGCTCTCTGGTAAGCGGGAGGAAGAACGGGCCATCCTCGGCCTACCCTTGGCCTTTTCTCATCTCCTACCAAGGTGGGAGCAACTTTTCACCCTAGACCGGAAAGTACTCACTTTAAAAATGCAAACAAAATGTAAACAAAATTCAAACAAAGCAACCGACGGCGGTGCACGTATGAAAAAATTGTATAAAAATTCTCTAAACGGTTTGTGTATAGAAATTCTACAGGATTTTCGCATATGATATTCGGATATTTCTATACGAATATTTTCTATACGAATTATTTCTATACATAAATTTTTACATAAATTTTTGTTTTCATACGAAAGATGTCAAACACTCCAGAGAAAATCGTAGAGATATGTCGCAATCCATACGAAATATTTCTATACATGTGAACCGCCCCGAAAGTTATTTTATTTTTAATTAAATAATCTCTCTCCTTCTTATTACAATATGTATTTATTATTAGCGAGAATATGTTTTGTAAAACATTCTTCATTTCTGAGGCATGTGACATTGAGCTCTGTGCCTGGTACTCGATGATAACTGAAAAGAATTCCTATTTCCAACCGTTACCGTAATCTTGTGTTTTAAAGAGTTAAATTTTTATGAACAAATGGACAGCGCCTGGTTCTGCAAAAACAGTTATAATATTTGAATTCAGCAGCTTTGAAAACATAAAGTCCACTGATAAAATTTCTGGATATCTCAACGGACACATCAGGAAAAATAGTTTCTAAAAGTCGTCACTGGTTTATGTGCAAACCAAGGATAAATAAATAAATAAATAATATCACAAGAATTGGTTGAAAAAAAACGTTGCATTTCCTATTCTTCCATAATTTCACAAATTTTAGTAACAATTGTCTTGACAATTAAAAATTTTCAATCTTTCGATATTTTTAATTTTTCCATTTTTTGAAAATGAATTTCATTCGAGTCGGTCGTTGACAACATCGAATGAAAAACATCGATGTTTGGCAGAAAGAATCGAAAATCGATTAATCAGCCGTTGACGACATCGAATGAAAACCATATTTTTAATTTTTCAATTTTTTGGAAATCGATTTCATTCGATCTCGGTCGTTGACGACATCGAATGAAAACCATCGACGTTTTCAAGGAAGACTCGAAAATCGATTAATCAGCCGTTGACGACATCGAATGAAAACCATATTTTTAATTTTTCAATTTTTTGGAAATCGATTTCACTCGATCTCGGTCGTTGACGACATCGAATGAAAACCATCGACGTTTTCAAGGAAGACTCGAAAATCGATTAATCAGCCATTGACGACATCGAATGAAAACCATATTTTTAATTTTTCCATTTTTTGGAAATCGATTAAAAAAAATCGATGTTTGTAAGAAAGAATCGAAAGTCGATTAATCGGCCGTCAACGACATCGAATGAAAACCATCGACGTTTTCAAGACAGAATCGATAAATCGATTAATCGGCCGTTGAAAGCATCGATGTTCGGGCGTGAAAAATCGATGTTTTCGATTAATCGACAAACATCACACACCTCCACGTTATCGATAGCGTAGAAAGTGACTCAACTGCCCATCGGTAAAACAGAGTTACCGAAATAAAATTGATGGCTTTCCGAACGCCACTGGTTCTCCAGCATCCTCTCTTTGTGACGTCACATGCCCCCCACCACATGCAGTTCCCACTCAAGCCCCCCCCCCCCATTGAATGACGATACGACAGAAATACTACGGGAAAAAGAGAGTAAAACCACATCAACACATGTAAACATCCACGCCTCGCATCAGCAATCAATCGAGGGATTAATCATAGCTCCCAGCAATCATTAGACATTCTTTTTATTCGACTTGGCGAGGTTCGGGCATCACTGTAAGCATGGTACTGAGGCTGTTGGGAATTCCTAGAAGATTTTTCTGATTTTTCCCGTGGTTTTTTACACTTGGCGTCATCAGTCGTTTCGGAGTAAGTGCAAGGGTTTTTCGATTTTTATTTTGGAATGCGAGTGGGTTTTACGTGGGGAATAATTTTTTGAGATTTCTTCGATGACGAAGATCGTGAGGTCAGCTGGTGTATGAGGTTTTCTGCAGTGAGTCACAATTATTTTTTCCATTGTTTTTGGAGTGGAATTGTTGCTCCATATTGGTGGGAATAATTTAATAATTGGGATGGGGCGATTGACCTTTTGAGGGGGAATCAATGGGCTAGAGGATATTATTAGAATTGCGAAAATAGTTGTGATCCAAAGGAGATGATGAATTATTTGAAATATTGTTTACATTGATTTTTCTAGATTTCAAGTGTTGGTGATTTTTTTTCAAAGAGTGGAATTCATTAGATCAATTTTGTTTTTTAATCAAAATAATTATTACTGTTATTTTTATTAATGGAACCGTCAGTATTAGAACGAATCTCAATGATTTGTTGCATTTGGAATTTTTCTAATTTTTTCATATGACAAAATTCCTCTCAATTTCACTCGTCAACTGAAAATCTTAATATTGTGGTTATCAATTTGATAACAGTTGATTGTGAGTTAATGATTTTTTGAGGAGCTACAGGTGTGAAAAACAAATTAGTCTGATGGTTTTTTACACTTGGCGTCATCAGTCGTTTCGGAGTAAGTGCAAAGTTTTTTCGATTTTTATTTTTGAGTGCGAGTGGGTTTTACGTGGCCAATAATTTTTTGAGATCTCTTCAATGACGAAGATTGTGAAATAATTACTGAGCTTCATTCATAATAATAATTATCAATAATTATTATTAATAATTATTGTTATGAATGTTAAAATAATAAATAAATAATTAATAATTATTATTGATAATTATTATTATAAATGAAGCCATCAGTATTAGAAAAAATGGATTAACTTCCGAATGAATTTTGACATCTGAAATTTTTCTACATTTTTTCAAATGATAAAATTCTTTTCGATATCATTCTTCAATTAAAAAAGTCTTTATATTGTGTTTCTCATTTCCAAAATTGATGATGATATTCTATTTCATTCTCCAACTGCATAGTTGATTCGGAATTAATGATTTTTTTATGGAGCTGTCGATATCAAAAACAAAATTTGTTTTTTTTTTCGAATGATTTTCGACATTTTGAAGGTTTCTTGAATTTTCTAAATGATAAAATTTCTTTCAATATCATTCCTCAACTAAAAAAAGCCTTTATATTGTAATTGTTGTTTTCAAAATTGTTGAGACTGAATTAATCAATTGTTTATCAGTATTTCTGTTTTTAAATCATTTTTGACATTTGGAATTCTTATTAAATTTTTATAAACATAAAATTCTCTTTAATTTCATTCTTCAATTGAATAAAGTGTTCATATAATGATTGTCATTTCAAAAATATTTAGTTATAAAAATGTAAGAAATATAAAAAACGAAATAATTTTTTTTGTCGAATTTCTTCATTTTTTGAATTATTCTGAAATATTTGGGAAACATCTCCATTTTATGATTTCATTTTTCTTAGTGAAGAAATAAAAATCATTCCCTGATTATTTATTGTAATTTTTGGGGAGGAGGTGGCTTAAGGAGAGGAAAAATCGATTGATTTTCAACCAATTTTTTAATTTCAGAGTTATTTTTTATTTTTTTGTAAATTCGTTAAATGAAAAATTCGCTATTTCACGTTTTTTTCTCGTGTTTCGTGGCATTTTCCGGAGTGAAACGAATGAAATATCCATTTACAGAATTATTCTCAGGAAAACTGTTCTAAAATGTCCGAGAGAATAATTGCCAGTGAAAAATGAAGGATTTTCGCAGCTAGTTAAATCACTATTCCACTGTTTTAGGGTGATTTTTATTGAAAATAAAATATAAAATCGTTGAAAGAGTGTAATTACTCATTTATGAACCCTCTGATCATTTTTCAAAATAACTTTAGAGCCATTTTCAATTTTTTTTTTTAAATAATCGATTCTGTTCGACGATTTGGAATTATTTCTTCCACTGGAGAAATTTATTTTCATGTTTTTGGAGTATTTTATTTTGTCCAGAAAACATTTAAATATCCTTATCATTTGCCTCCTCCTAACCGAGAGGAATTACTGTTGTTTAGTTGTTAATTAGTGCTTGTTAGCTTCTGTTCGTTAATTCAGTTAATTTGTCTCTTTTTTTTAGTTTATCTACTGTAAATAAGTGCACCATGGCGCAGGCAACGACGATCGAGACTGTAACGATCACCAGGCCGCTGAAGGTAATTATTATTCCCCCGAGAGTGAGGGGAAATGAATGAGGATTGACAGGAAGTTGTGCAATTTCAAACATTTTCACGAATTCTTTCTAGTTTACTTGCGAATAGTTTTATTAATTTTCGTTATCGAGAGTTGAAAATTGACTTATTGGAAAATTATTACGATTTGTTTTCACTATACCCTTTCATTATGCCCTTCTTCCTGTCAAATTCGATATTGCTTTTTTCAATCAATTGCTTATAATCATTCTCATTACAAACAAGTGGGAATTGCTCTTGTTTTGCATATAGTATATAGTATTATTTTTGCTAATAAATTAACAATATGCTTCTGAATGGTTATTTTGCACATCACTTCCTTCTGTCATGTACAATTCATTGTTTATTTCATTTTATTAAATTGAATAAGATTTCTTTTCAACTAATTTTGTCAGATTTTCAACTTAGTTGAATGTTATCATCATCATTATTCTTATTATCCCTTTCTTCTATACAACCGATTGTCTTTTTTACGGGTCTATCTCTCCCCTCAGCCCTTCGATAAAATGTTAATAGAAAAATTTTATTTATACATACTTGAATGAATTTGAAACATCACATTTGAAGAAACAATCAGAAAGCTCACTTTCAGGGAAATTCATGAAAAATTCGAAATTTTCAACAATCATCATAAAAATTAAATCAACCAATATAGCTATCGTAATTATCTTTTAACTTCGACTAATGGCATTGAAACCAACATTTCAAGCTATGATTGAATATCCCCGGAATTCTGATTTTCAAAAAATACAAAATTTTCGTAAATTTTCAAATAAATCAAAATAACGATTATTGCTTTCGCCTTCATCTTCGAACTCGGTCAAAAGGACATCCAAACAAATTTTTAAGCCATTATTCAATCAATTCAAAACATTTTTTTTAGTTATCGTGGGACAACCGATTTTCGAAAACATTCGAGAATTTAAAAAACTAATCGATGAATTAAATTTTAATTAATGGCGATTGGTAGGGCTCAATAATACCTACATTTGAAAAAAAAGATTCAATTCCATTCAGTTATTAGCGAACAATTGAAGAAAAACTTTGTTACAGAAGATTAAAAAAAACAAAACTTCTATTTGAACGATTACAAAGCTTCTATTTGGAAGCAAAATTGAAAATAAAAAAAAACGAAATTATTTTTAGAAAATAATCAAAATTGCCGAATATAGAAATGATATTTCATTTTATACGTCTCGACTTCAATAATCTACATCAAATTTACGTTTGAAAAAAACATTACAAATCGTTTATTCAAATAAAAAAAACATTAAAAAACGATAAATTAAAAATAATGAATATAGACATGATACTTCATTGTAGGCATCTCGACTTCAATAATTCACACCAAATTTATGTTTGAATCCAAGATGAAACATTCCAAATCGTTTATTTAAATTTAAAAAAAAACATGATGAAAAAACGACGAATTTGAAACACTCCTCGATTTTTTAATGATTTTAACAAAATAAATGAAGCGATAAAAAAACAATCTCTCCCAACAATTTCTTCATTTAGAAAAATTCTGGAAGTGTCCCCATTCACGAAGAACTTCGCCCCATTCCCACATCCATAATGAATTCATGCCCCAGAAAAAATCGAAAACCCAAATTTCGACCACGATTCTTCCCCCGGAAAGCAAAAAAACTCGAATCCCCTTTCCTCCCCTCGCGAGCTGAGCACCCCGTGCGCAGACGCCCCTAGAAATCGACGGGCGCAGTCGCCCTAAATTCCCTCACCCTCGACAGTTCAGTCTCCAAGCAGTCGAACGCGAGTCCCCAGAATCCCCCGCGAGGAATAAAATAATCCAAAAAAGTGGCCGAAAAAAAAAAATTAAAATCATAAGAAAAATCCCTGTGACCCTCGCGTAAACTCCGGAAAATCGCGTCTGGGGGTGGGTCTGGAGGGCTGGCAGAGGCTCAGACCGGAAGGGCTTGGGCTTGAAAAAAAAAATAAATAAATAGAAGAATTGATTTGTGGGGAGGGGGTTGTTTGGGCGTCTGAGGGGGTGGCGAAAGGGCTAAATCCGCCTCACCCTCGAGTCCTCTGATCTATGGCGGGGTGCACAGGGGTCTACGACGTCCCATAAAATATTCACAAATACATTTCAATTCGAGGACAGGACGGGCGCGAGGGAGAAGTGATAATAGTGGGGTAATTCTGTTAAAGGGTGATTCCGCACTGTTTCTCCGGGTCGTTCCGAAGATTTTAGGGGTGTTTTGGGGTGGTTTAATATGATTACCATGTACACCGTCGCTGAGGATCACATGGGGGAGAGCGAAATTGCACAGGTGAATTCATTAGTGTCTTGGAATGTTTATTTTGAAATTTTTACAATTTTTTAATATTTTTTTCTCACTTTTT